CTCATCAGGATCTCTACCAGATTACCTTCAAATTGAAATTATTTTAGACAGGATTCGAGTAAATTAATTCATGAGACCTTGGGTCTGGTCAAATACATCAATCGAAAGAGTTTGACTTCCAGAGCCCAAAACTGTAATAAGATCTCAAATCTGTCCAGAGATGTTGGGACTATGAGATAAAAGTTGGTGCTTTAAAAAGAAACAAAACAAACAAAAACTCAGAGCCATTTATGAGTCGCTATGGCGCGGCTACAAAAACAAAAATAAAAGCTTAACAAAAATGAGTTTCGTGTTGTCCTTAATGTACGAAGGTTACAGTAGACAAAGAAATTATAAAACTTTTCAGTTTCATATTTATCGTTCTGTTTAACCACTGTTGAGATTATCATCTTACGTTTTCTCTAATCATATTTCTCTTTTTATTGTAACAATGAACAATAATATAAAATACTTTCGACTGAGTTTTCCACTTAACATTATTGTTCTATTTTTTAAATTAATAAATGTTCAGCCGTGAAGTTTTCTTGTACTTAGTAACTGTGAAAAATATAAGTTTAAGAGGCAGAATTAGTCATTTTCCGGGAAACTAAGTTTGAAGGGTTATGTATATTAAACAACGTATTAGCTGCTTTGTTGAGTATTCCCGAAAGTTTTATATAGTGACTTAGCAGAATAAAATGTTATATTTTCGAACCGGTCCGGCATGGCCAGGTGGTTAGGGTTCAAATCCCCGTCCCACCAAACATGCTCGCTCTTTCAGCCGTGTGGGCGTTATAATATGACGGTCAATTCCACTATTTGTTTGTAAAAGAGTGGGCGGTGGGTAGTGATGACTAGCTGCCTTCCCTCTAGTCTTTCACTGCTAAATTAGGGACAGCTAACGCAGATAGCCCTCGTCTAGCTTTGCGCGAAATTCAAAGACAAACAAACAAACAAATTTTCAAACCTACCATTCTTCCTGCTCTGTTGTTATGGAGATTCATTAAACCTTCTTCTGTAGATGTATCTTCTCCAGAATCAACAAAATCTCTACTGAACTTCGACCCAAACCCAATATCTTCCGAGCAGCCTCCCCATTCCCAGCGCCCTCTTGTGTTCTGTATTCGTATTCGATTGTCACAGCCACAAACCGTTAGCTCCCCCGTGCTGCAGCCTCGAGTAATGCTGTACGCTACACCTGCTGAAGAGATTGCGTAGACGTATGCCTTTTCTCGGCTTTCTGTCAAATATAAAACAAAACAGTAAACACGGTGATATCTGAAATTTGTAAGATGGGAATAAAGATACATTTTCTCTCTTAACGTTTTCTTTCAAGCATTGATATATATATTTCAATAAATAAAAGATTAAATGTCCCTTGATTTAAAACAGCCAAAACGCCATTTTTGTATGGTAAATGTATAAAAGATGTAAAAAGACAACTATTTAGGAAAAAGAAAAAAGTCTAGACTTGTAGATAACACAATAGTTATTTTACGTTTAATGTTAAAACGGAATATGTCTAGTACAACATTTCCACACCTTTCAAGATTCTTCAATTCAGTCAATTAAACAGACTAAAACGCAACGTTCTTTGTTCGTTAACGTATATTACAGGGGCTGTGCGTGGCCAAAGTTATTAACGTGCTTAACTACGGATCAAAAGGCCCAAGGTTTCATGTCGCTGAACACCCTTCGCACCCTTCAGCTGTGAGCGCATTATAAAAGTGACAGTCAATTCCGCCATTCTGTTTATGTAGGTGGTAGGTGCTATTGACTGATTGTCCTTCCTCTGATCAACATGTCGAAATTATAAATGATGTCTCTGGCCTGTTGATTTAGCCCATTTGATGTTTATTGTGCTGTTGTGGTTGAACATGCCAAATACTGTATATTAACTTATTCATCTCGCGTATCATGTTGCTAAAATATCCATACGATCATTGAATGGTATATAAAACGTCAAGGGTGTAGGTTTTCTTGTTACCCCCTGTTTGCTCGATGAAAAAATGTGTACAGTTACAAACACAGAGACTGTATATTAACTTATTCATCTCGCGTATCATGTTGCTAAAATATCCATACGATCATTGAATGGTATACAAAACGTCAATGGTTTAGGTTTTCTTGTTACCCCCTGTTTGCTCGATGAAAAAATGTGTACAGTTACAAACACAGAGACTGTGTGTATCCATATATGATAGAAAATGCCTGCATTTTTAATAATAACGATTAACATTAAGTGGCACTCCTTCGGGCCGAACAGGCTTAAAAGCATTCCTTCCTGTTCTAATTTATTCACGAAAGCCCGCTTAGATGTTGGACAGTATTTCTAAATACTAATATTTTGATCCAGAGGATACACGCAGATCTTCGATTGGATTTTATTGGGGTCCTATATTTGATCGAGTCCCCACTTAGTGATAACTTCCATACAATTTTGATGCTGTCTGGATAAGTGTGATATTTGTTTCACCCTAGGTGTCAAGTTTTTTCTGCATAACCTTAATCATTTAACGATGAAGTTTTTCAACCAATCACTATAACTACTCTCTAACCCAATGACAGTGACACTGAAAGAGTGAATGAGATAGACTATACTGATAGTGTACTTTTTGAAGTTGAGGCACGAAGCTGGAAGTTGATTAGTTTACCAGCAGTCCGCTACTTGTGTATCACAAGGAAAACTTCTGCGTGTTACGAAGGTTAACCCTAACAGTGATGAACTGTCTTGATGACGGCTGTAGTCTTAAAAATTTCAGTGTTCACACTTGGGGGCGCGGTAATCACTCTACGCCGTAGGCTTGATTGTGATAGAGCTGGCAGTAATACAATTTTTCTTCTATGTTTGCCCAGTGTGTCAAAGCGATCATGTCTGCATCCTCTCATTTATAATTGTTTTGTATGATTTGTCTTTCATTTTTTATCATAACTTCAATTGTCATTGTATTTCTTATTATTTTACAGTTGCGTCTTAAATTTTTTTTTTATTTCTCACATTCTTTAGAAGTAGGCCATTATTAAATGGTTTTGTTATGACATCATTTAGATGTTTTAAAAATAGTTAAGTAATGTATAAATTACGACTGTTTGCCATCAAACCATACTCATTGATGAACAAATGTGTTCCAACATATGACTTGGTGGTGATTGTTCTTTCAGATTTTTGCGTTACGTGTAAATGAAAATGAATGTAGTTTGTAAAAATCACCTTTTCAAAACTTACGTGAATCAGATCTAAACAGATCAATATTTGTTTCATATTTTTATAGGGGCGCTGAAAATCACCGAGGGTTTTGCAATAGTAACTTGTTCTGAAAAACGAAAAAGTAACACCTGTGATGCTGAGTGGGCGTTAGGCTTAAATCTACACTGTTGGTGTGGTTATTCCTATTGGTTAGTTTGATATTCCATTGTTTGTTACGTATGTTGTTTACTTTATTTTTTTCAGGTGTTTTCCCATTTCTACGTAGTCACGCTAGGCTTATTGATAACACAGACCTGCGATTTTAAACTTCATAAAAGTTGTTTTGATTTTAATAACAGATTTCGAAAATAATATTCTTTTTTTTCTATCACGTAAGGAAGTTTACAAATCTGGAAGACTAATACACTCTTTCTTAGATCAAATTATTATATTGTTTACCACAATGAAAATGTTTTATTATTATGTTTGTTAACAAAAATACAAACAAACTGAAGAAAAGGGAAAAACATTGATGTTAAACGAATATGCATCCTCAATCTACGTCTTTTAGTCTCAAAACTACGTGTTGTAGTCTTTCTTTTATGTATTGCGTTATGACTTTTCGTGAAAAATCTGAACGTGTTTATAGTTCTTGCAGAATCTGACTGTTAATTTTATCAGAAGGTCCTTTTCCATGTTCTGCAGTTTTCACAGCACAGTACGCGTTGACTTTAGCGTAGGGATCCATCGCTGTATTAGCAGTCTCACAGAACAATCTCTATTGACTTTAGTATAGGAAGCCATCACTGTATTAGCAATTTTCACAGAACAATATATATTGACTTTAGCGTAGGAAGCCATCACTGTATTAACAGTTTTTTCACCAAATATACCCCTGATATATTTTAGGCTTTGTTGGTACATTTGCATTTCCTACATGATGCATCCTACGACTACATCTTACTGTAAGTTGCGACAGTCTGCTAACTTTAACAGTTCACAATATGATCTTCGCGTGTAACAATCTTTGCAACATTACCAGAACAAACGAGACAAAAAAAAAAAACTTGACCATCATCAAGTTCTCCATCTGGTTGTATTTGTTAGTTCTGATCTATGTTAATCCACGTACGGTGTACGAAACAGAGGTTAGTAAGAACTTGTTATATCACATCTATTCCAACGCCAAATCACTAATATTTAATCAATTATGTGACAAATGTTCATATAAGACCGTAGAATAAATGACCAATCATTTCCATTCAGTTCAATGGCTAGATGGTTTGGGCGCTCGACTCGCAATTTTGGGTTGTAGGTTCTAATCCCCGTCCCACCAAACATGCTCGCCCTTTCAGCCGTGGGGGTGTTATAATGTGGCAGTCAATCCCACTATTCGTTGGTAAAAAAGTAGCCCAAGAGTTGGCGAAGGGTAGCAATGCTCCCTCTAATTTTTTCAATCCATGTGCGGAATGAATTTTTTTGTGTGCACCAGTATCAAGGCAATGCCACCAGTTGTTTTTTTTTTGGGGGGGGGGGTATTTTTAGAACCTGAACCATATTGAGTAATTAGGCCAGTTTTCAGCGCTACCAGTTGGCTATTTGAGTTTTAAGCCTATCGATTGCCAGGATCATTAAGGCCGTCAACGTGTGGAGACTCCTTACCATTACTAAGGATGTGCGCTGCTGGAATAAATAAATGCGCGGCATTTGATTGTTTCTTGTGCAGCCGTGCAGCTTAGAGGGAACACTGGTGTGTGGTGATGACTAGCTGCCTTTCCTCTAGTCTTTCACTGCTAACTTAGGGACGGCTAACACAGATAGCCCTCGTGTATCTTTGAGCGAAATTCAAAACAAACTATACCATTCATATCACATGATGGATCATCTGAAACCTGATTTGCATCAAACTAAATAGCGAACGTGATATTATTTCGTTAAGCGTGGCATTGTCTTGTCATAATTATTATATCATAAATTACACTAGTCTTTTGTTTTGTGCAGTGTTTCTGTGGCTTCCATTTTATGACCCGCCTTGAAATATACACAAGTCCGATTAACTGTTGTCCTGTCTTTGCTAATCTGTTTACACAAGTTACTTACTGGGTTGCGACAGAAAATTTTTTTTGTTTAAATTGCTTTTCTTTTTTATTGTTAAAGTTTACATTTTTGCCTTTAACATTATTCTGCGAAGATAAAATACAGTGTCTGGAATTAATACGTATGTACACAGCCTCTGTTCCAGAATATATATTTTTTTTACTATCCAATAATTCGCCTTACTACCTTTTTATGACTTTTTCCTACACATGCACAACCAAAATTAGTAGAAAACCGAATGTAGATATATATGTATGTATCGTAGACATTGTGGTTTTTATTTTAAACTTAAATGGTTATTTTTAATCGTCAATTTCAACCAATAAATATATGCTTGAACAGTATATTATGCAACAGGAGTTAAAGACGCTCAATCTTGATCATTTCTCATGTAAATATTGACATAAAGCATATTCAAAATTGAGCTACACAAATTCAGTTTTAGTGTTGACCTTCACATTAGTTAGTGTGCTGGGATGAATCAAATATCCTCAAAAGAACAGTTCAGTAACGAAAGGCCGGGTAACTGGTGGTTATTTAAATAGATACTATTATTCAACCCGTGGGTTCCATGTGTCTGATGTGTCGCGCGTTGCTTGTTTCTATAGTAGATTACAGTGGTAAATGTTTTATCAGTGCGTTGTTGGTAAACTATAGCTCATCTGGACGCATCACTTGTTAAACGATGACCGTTTTATCCATCAGTTACTTATACGATGACTATTCTATCCATGAATTGACAGGCGATGACTATTTTATTCGTGGATTGAAGTTATACAGAATCTAAATTTTTCCGTGGTTTTCAGTAGAGGATGATTGGTTTAACCTTAAATGTGTGGACGATGACTGTTTATTCTGACTTGCTTGTCAGTCATTGTTCCCTTTGCCGATTGTCTGCCTATCCTGGATTATTGAACTGTGATTGTTCCGTGTGTCATTTTTTGTCTATCCTGGATTGTAATTGTTCAGTTTCTCGATTGTCTGCCTAGTCTGAATTGTTGGACTGTGAATTTTCCGTTTGTCGATTGTTTACCTAATCTGGATTGTTGGACTGTGAATCTTCCGTTTGTCGATTGTCTGCCTAGTCTGTGTTATTGGACTGTGAATCTTCCGTTTGTCGATTGTCTGCCTAGTCTGTGTTGTTAGACAATGTACCGTCAGTTCAAAGACCATTGCAATAGGGAAAATATTCAATATGTTTAAGCGTTAACGAGAAGCCCGCTAATGTTTCGGTTATGATACTGTAAATTCATTTCTAGTTTATAACAAAACGTTTTGGTATACATAACACAATTAATTGTTTTCTTCCTTTACTATGTTTTACATTGGTGCAATAGCATTAGAAGTTTATGCATTTTTATTTACTTACTAATGGCTAAAATTCCACCAAACACGGAAGAGATATTGTTAAACGTTGTACAGTTCCACCGACTCATCTGAAACTGGTGTTGGCACTCTTCTATTCCAATCTTGGCGCCTCGACTTACAGTATGTAGGATATTGTAGCTGAGACTACACAGCTCTCTTTGGCGTTCCACAAGATAATAGAGTTGCTTACATTGGTTGGCGTAAGATGTGGGATTCAGCTCCATTGTACTCTGGTACGTGCTAGGCATGCCCAAAAGCCTAGGGGAAGAAAAAAAATACATCGGAGTTAGCATATTTATCTTTAATATCAAATTTTCGAAGTCGTATGTGATTGTTCTTAATATATTACAGCTTTGTAAAAGTGTATTCTATTGTGTGTTGTGGCCAATACATTTGGATAAACATTGTGTAATAATATAGTGAAAGCTGGCCTAAATAAATCAGCTTTGAACGCAATGTTATATACGTAGTAGCTTAGAGAACATTCCGCATTGGTATTGTATAGTAGTTTAGATATACTTCAATGTTATGCTTAAAGAAGATATCACAATGTGTTCTATATACTTTATTCAAAACAAACCACAGTGGTTGTGTATAGCAACTTCTGGGAAACGTGTTTTTTTGCAGTAACTTAGATACGATGCCACAATGTTTTGTATCCTGGATTAGAAACGATACCACATGTTGTACTATGGGTTAGAGAAGATTGCACAATAAGTTGTGTACTGTGGGTTAAAAAAGCCACCACGATACGTTATGTACCATGGTTTAGAAAAAGGTATCACAATAAGTTGAGTACTATGGATTAGAGAAGACATCACAATAAGTTGAGTACTATGGATTAGAGAAGACATCACAATAAGTTGAGTACTATGGATTAGAAAAGCTACCACAATAAGTTATGTACCATGGTTTAGAGAAGCTACCACAATAAGTTATGTACCATGGTTTAGAGAAGCTACCACAATAAGTTATGTACCATGGTTTAGAAAAAGGTATCACAATAAGTTGATTACTATGGATTAGAGAAGGCATCACAATAAGAGATTAGAGCAAATTCTTAAATCTCTGCTGTACGGGAGCATATAATGCCTTATGTATGTACTGTAGCTTACATACGATGTCTTGTGTACGTACTGTAGCTTACATACGATGTCTTGTGTACGTACTGTAGCTTGCATACGATGTCTTATGTACGTACTGTAGCTTACATACGATGTCTTGTGTACGTACTGTAGCTTACATACGATGTCTTATGTACGTACTGTAGCTTACATACGATGTCTTATGTACGTACTGTAGCTTACATACGATGTCTTGTGTACGTACTGTAGCTTGCATACGATGTCTTATGTACGTACTGTAGCTTACATACAATGTCTTGTGTACGAACTGTAGCTTACATACGATGTTGTATGTATGTACTGTAGCTTAAATGCACTGCATTATTTGTGGTGTAGCTTAACTACGATGTGTTACATGTGTATGTATGTATGTATGTATGCCTTGTAGCATAAATACGATTGCGTTATATACAGTAGCTGAGAGAATACTGTCACTATAAATAAACACTAGATATTTAGTAAAAACCAGCTATTTGTTTAGGAGATCATAAAGAACATTGACGTCAGATAAATGTGTTACGTCGGATGTTTAAAAAACGCAGCTTATAATACACTTAAAACTGTTACAGTGGAAAGATATACAGTGTGTATTTATTTATACAACCAATGTTGACGTTCGTGTAGAATAGAATGAAACGGTTCGACTTTGTAGTTACTACTCATGGAATAGACCAATTAAAGCTGTGATATCGGTGTGTTTCATACCACAACACACTTGTATTAAAAATAATATAATTAATATTTTGAACGACTGTATAAGAGTGACAACGTTCCTGTAATTATAAATATAAAAAGTGCTTATAAAGATATACTAAATGTTACGTGATCTTTAGTATATGTTCAACACAATGCTCGCATAAAAAAAAGTGACAGACTTTTCTGTGTTTATTCTATTTAAAACAACTCAATCTTCATTTTTAGATCTAATATTTTCACCAAACATAAACGTTCTCGCACAGATCGCACGTGTTTCTAGCTCTTAGAATCTGTCGGCAGATCAAAAGACCCCGGGAGAGAGTACAACTCCTGATAATTCCATTGATGTCTCAATTCTTCTACAAACAATATATAAGGAATTTAAACAACTTCTTCGGTCTTGGCGCTCATCAGGTGGCGCTATTGATTTCTGTAAGATGCTTGTCAATGTGGTAGAAGGGAAATTTTTATACAGAAAAATAAATATTTGTTTATCTCTCAGCTAATGGCCTGGCGAGGCGCGCGCTCTACTCGCAATCTGCGGGTCGCAGGTTCGAATTATTGTCACCGAATATGCTCGCCCTTTCAGCCGTGGGGGTGTTATAATGTGACAATCAATACCACTATTCGATGGTAAAAAAAATAGCCCAAGCGTTGGCGGTGGGTGGCGTTGCCTAGCTTCCTTCCCTCTAGCCAATACTGCTAAATTAGGAACAGCTAGCGCAGACAGTCCTGGAGAGCTTTGCGCAAGATTTCGAAACAAACCAAAGAGCTTTCGGCTAATCATCAGCAGACAGTCTGTAACTTCAAGGCTTATTTTACTCTTTTAGACAACGTATAATCTTGCCATAAGATTATAGTTATTCAGATGTAATTTAGTAGAAATGTAAATCTGGTAATATGGAGGAATTGTTAGGCTTAAGGCTTATATGTTAGGCTTAAGGTTTATATGTTTTTATTTTCGGATGCAAATATATATCTTGGTATCTCTTCACAGTCGTTATTATAAATCAAATATATTATTTCTGATTTTAATAAACATCAGTATTTATAAATATAATATATACACACACAGATAATTTGTTTCAGCACTTTTTCCAGTTTTTTCAATGTATTTATTTTTTGAACTTTTGTAAGAACTTCAGTAAATTTATATTTTTAATGTATATGTGTGTGTGTGTGCTAAGGATAATATTCAGATAGCGTTCGGGACAGCTGACACTAAGAAGACATTCACCACTAAGCCTAACTATGGAAAGTTTCAGGACATATTTTGATAATTAATTGACGTAATACCATTTATACTAACTTTCATGGCAGTGGGTATTCACAAAACATCCATTACTAAGGCTAACTGAGAAAAAACTTTCAGAAGCTAACCTTAGCGGTAGATGTCTAGTGAATATCAGATATTTTGAACTTTTTTGAGTTAGCCTTAGCAGCACATGTTTATTGAATACCAGCCATTCTGAAAATTTTTTGAGTTAGGCTTAATAGTGGTTTTCTAGTGAATACTAACTGCTCAGAAAGTTTTCCGAGTTAACCCTAGTAGTGGATGTGTAATAATACGTGAGTGTGTTTGTGTGTTTTTCGTATATCAAAGCCATATCGGTTTATCTGCTGTTCCCACCGAGGGGAATCGAATTCCTGGTTTTAGAGTTGAAATCCGTAGACTTACCACTGTCCCAGTAGGGGACATGAATACGTGAAGGAAACATTCTGTGTTAATTTCGTTGAAATTAGGTAATATGGGAAAAAAGTTTCAAACATGTCAGCATTTGTACTGAACATTCAACACCTGTCGAAAATGGTCTTTTCTAATATGGTAGTAATTGTATTATGTAAATCAATTGTTATGCATATATAAATATAATAGACTTGAAATCCCACTTGACAGGAAATAGAGCATTGGTTATGTTTATTGATAACTGATACAATACTATTAAATGCAATGAATAAACCACAGTTGAACTGGTACAAAAAGTTGAGTATGTTATATTAAAACGATTTTGAATATACAAATCAGCAAATCACATGACAACCACAGTCAATATAAAGTCGTAATGGACAGCGTATAGCACAATTACATGTTGATATTGTTTGGCTTTTCCTTAAGTAGTGTATAGCTACCAAAAATTATCGTTTTGGGGAAGATTATGTAACAACCATTTTCGTCACAAACTACTTGGATACTCAGATTGAGTATTTATAATTTTCAAAACGGGGAAATCTCTTGCACTTAATGGTATGGAAAACAAAGAAATTTGAATCAACTATGGGCACCAGGATCATCCGGAAAGACACTTGTAACAAGTCCTACACTAACCGTGAAAAGTAAAGTGCTGCGTTTTGTAACAGGTAAAAATCTATGAAACACAAAGGTCATTGGCTAAAGCCATCCACATGCCCAAGGTAACAGTACGCAACATAATCAAGTAGGATCTCCGTCTGGAAAAGCTAAGCAAAATCATGTCTAACACAAGTTGCTTCCACACCATATCCATTCAACCTAGCAGACTTTAAGCAGCTGGTGAATTAAATGATAATTTACATTATTCCGTACAAATACACATCAGTCAAGTCATCTATGGAGTTCTATGCGATTGGAGTGCTAAAACAGGCGCAGAGAAAACAATGTTCTCATACGCTAGATGTATTATGGAAAGTAATCAGGAAGAAGTGATGTGCTTTGGTCGTGACAGTCTTTCGACGGGGCCTTTTGCAATGGAAATTACGATGCAGAACTATTGTCAAGATGCCCTATCGTTAGATTGAGCACTGAACGCGGCGACATGGACTGAAACGCTGTGATGATGTTCCAAAATCGATTTATTATAACGTATTCAAACTGTATTGAAATGTAGTGTGTCATAAGTGTCAATATCCTTATTTCTTAATTAATAAAAGGAGTAGATTTTAGTAATTATTAATTCAGATATCTGAAGCACTCAAAATTGACATACTATTTTTCCTACATGTGATCATGTATTTCTAGAAAGGTTTTGACATTTTGAAGATACTCAAAATATGAAGACTAAAATTAGGACAAGTACAAGTTTTTCCTAGCAACTCCAATTAACGTCGCCATGCTTATATAACATTAGGAATTTAGGGTTAACACGCAGCCGTGTAATTTCCTGTATAGTACTCGTGAATGAAACACCCCAGCGCAGTTTAAAACTGTCCTATAAACAAAATGTCTGCCATTTGTAGGTCTGGCTGTTCTTGTTTAGACTGCTACTGTCATCTGGTGAAACATGTTAGGAAACAATATTTCGAATGTAATAAGGTGATTAGTGTCAGATCTTTTCCCTACTTTATTTTTACAAACTTCTGATCAGTTTACCTACTTTTAAGTTAACATCATTAACCCGAGTCAGTAAAGTATGCGTTAACTCGAATTTTTTTTATCTGTATCTTGCTTTTCCATTGAATTAA